TTTTATCGGGGGGGGGGGGAAATTTTGATCTATACACATTTTTGCTGACGTGTCACGAGCTACACTGGCCCAGAGAAGGGAATTCGCTGTTATCACGGGAGCACTGCGGAATCAACAAATCTCATACCGCTGGGGCTTCCCCACTAAGCTGTTCGTGACCAGGAACGGGCAAACCACAGTTCTCTACACACCAGAAGAAGGTCTTCACTCCCTCCAAGAGTGGGATATCCCTCCAGTGGAACCCAGCTCCTCACAACAAAGGCCGACCAGAGGCTTCTACCAAAGCAAGAAACAGGGTGCCTGAAAGTCTATTGGGCAGTGAGAACCCTCGCAGAACGACCCACTGGCACGTTTTTCCATCGCCTCGCCCCAGCACCAATAGCAGAAGAAATCCATAGTCCTACATTCCCCTACTTCCACCAGCCGCCAACTTATGAAGAGATCTTCCATACCACACGGCTGCATCCTAAACACAGTCTCACCATCCACCAGACAGACTTATACCTGTTCATAGGAAGCGGTACCCCGAAGGCACCCACTCCGTGCACATCCGAACTCCGATGCCTCCCGACTCGAGGCCTCGGGTACCTGGGTACTTCGACCCAGAATGGTCCTTCTTAGGGATTGGGGGGTTGAGAACACTCGCTAGGCTTCGGCTCCACACAGTGGAGGCCGCCTTCGAACTTTCACTGGACATTCACACCCCTGTGAACTGCTAACCGCATTCCTAGTCTTGAGTTTTTTGTTTTTTTTTATCACATATGGGTTGCTCGAACAAGGCGGGCAACAACCGAAGGTATTTCCTAATACTTCTATGCCAGATGGGATATATTGTCGTTTATCATTGTGAAGTTTAATTTAGTTAATGTTTATAACGCGTTGGGATATAACAAGTTACAACAACCAGATATGTCGAGAGAGTTACAAACACAAGTTAGTTTCAACCACAAGTCCGCCTGTGGCGAGCGCAGCAACTCGAGCTCCAACACCAGAAACCCCCCAGGGACCGAGCGCTACACTCGACACAACCGGATCCACCACCAACCCGCCGGCGGGCGGGAGTGTATATTACCACAAGGTACAATTAGCAGTATACCCGAATGTTCATTAAGCCCCTCCTCCTTCCTCCTTCCCTCTTCCCCGGTACTCTCTTCCCACTAGACGAAGTACCCTCGAAAAGCCCTCTAGCTTGACCACCCACGAGGCTACTACTCACAGACTACATATTCAAACCACAATGAAGGTAATCTCCTACAACGTCAAGGGGCTGAACACCCCAGCGAAACGTCATGCTCTCTATAGAGAGGCAGTACGATTGCAGGGTGACATACTGTGTCTTCAGGAGACGCACTTCAAACACACTGACCCTCAGAGACTCCAAATCCGCCAATACCCCCACCAATATCATGCCACAGCGGACTCGAAGTCCAGAGGAGTGTCAACCCTATTTAGCAACAACCTTTCCTTCTCCCTACTTAGAAAAGTTGGCGACACCCAAGGCAGGTACATGATAATAGTGGCAAAGATCAATGAGCAAATATATACAATAGCCAACCTCTATACCCCTAATGAAAAACAGATACAATTTCTACAACGGGTACTAGCAAAAATAGATGAGGTCCGCGAAGGTATATTAATTATAGGAGGCGATTTCAATTGTGTGCAAGACCACGCCATGGACACCTCCTCCACCAAGTCTCCCGCTCGGGAAGCACAACTCAAACAAGACGCAAAACGACTAACCAATATACTTACAAACTCTAACCTATATGACGTGTGGAGAACACTTTACCCCTCTAGTAAACAATACACTTACCTATCCATGGTTCACAACTGCTACACGAGAATCGATATATTCTATATCAGTGGCCCACATTTCACCCAGGTACAAGACTGCACCATAGAAAACATTTTGTGGTCAGACCACGCTCCTATTACTTTGACATTGGCAGACAAATTTGCCTTTAAACACAGGCCTCCATGGTGACTGAATGAAACTCTGCTACAGGACCCCCTACTTGTTAAGCATGTGACTGCTCAGCTCACACAATACTTCAAAACTAACACCACCCCAGACATGCCAATACACACAACATGGTTGGCACACAAGGCAGTGGTGAGAGGTTTGTTCATAAAACATGCGTCTCACCTTAAACGGACGTCCGTAAGGCAGAGGCAGGCGTGGGTAGACGCCTTGAACTCGCTTAACAAAGTCAATGCGCAGAGACCATCAGACAGCACCAAGGAGAAAATATTACTCCTTCAAACCAAAATAAGGGAAGCCCAAGTAAAAAAAAAAACGGTCGCCTCCTACACAAACTCAAGCAAGCACAGTACTCACAGGGCAACAGAGCAGGGAAACTATTAGCGAACACACTAAAGACTGTCCAGGCTAAGTCGAGAATCCCATATATCCTTAACGATCTTGACAACAAATTAATATCACCACTAGAAATAGGGAATACCTTCGCTAAATTTTATGAATCCCTTTACAATCTCTCAGCAGACACCTCTCTACACCAGGCGACCATAGATGAAGCCAAAAACTATCTTGCAACGATACAAACACCGTCACTCACGGAGTCCCAAAGAGACTCTCTAAGGAACCCCATAACCAAGGAAGAAATAGAGCACGCAATCAAACATTTACCAGCCCACAAATCGCCAGGCCCAGACGGCCTACCAAACAAATATTACAAAACCTTTAGACCGATTTTAACCCCTCACCTCCAATCCACCTTCAATGCGGCAATTCTGCAGACACAATTGCCCCCAGAAATGTTGAGGGCCACAATTATCACACTACCCAAACCAGGCAAAGCCCCAGACAGATGCAAAAATTTCCACCCGATTTCCCTCTTAAATTCGGATGCCAAGCTGTTTGCCAGGATCATCGCGAACAGAATGGCCGCCGCCCTGGCCACTCTTATACACCCTGATCAGTCGGGGTTTGTGAGAGGGAGACAGGGTACTGTCAACACTAGACGAGTGCTGGACGTAATGGAATCCATGAGACGGAGGGGCAAGAGGGGTCTCCTGCTTTCTCTGGACGCAGAGAAAGCTTTCGACCGGTTGAGTTGGAACTTCATGGAGGCCACGCTAGACAAATACGGGTTTCCGGCCCAATTTGTAGCAGCAGTAAAGGCCCTATACAATCAGCCGACGGCGCAAGTGTTATATGGGGGCTTCATGTCAGAGTGCTTCCCCATCACCAATGGCATGCGCCACGGGTGCCCCCTCTCTCCTCTCCTGTACGTCCTAGCACTAGAACCACTGGCAACCAAGGTTAGAGCAATGGACAACATTAAGGGAGTTCTAATAGGTAAGACAGAACATAAGCTTAGTCTTTTCGCGGACGATGTGCTGCTAACCATTACAAAACCAGAGTCCTCTCTCCATGCCCTGATGGATCTAATAGAGGAGTATGGCAAAATCTCATACTACAAACTCAACAAATCTAAAACACAGGCATTGCCAATTAATATACCCCACACTACGTTACACTCCTTAAAACAACAACACAACCTGGATTGGAGATCCGACCATATCTCCTATCTAGGGATAGCACTAACAAAAAACCCTGCCAACCTACACCGAGCCAATTACACAAAAGTGTCCTGGTTGGGAAGGATAGCGGCATTCAAGATGACACTACTCCCCAAACTTCAATTCCTATTCAGATCTCTGCCAATAGCCATTCCTAGGACATTTTTTGCCATCCTGCAGAGACAGGCAGACCGTTTTATTAATGGCCAAAGGAAACCTAGGGTCCCCATATCGACTACACACAAGAAAATCGAAGAGGGAGGGCTGGGATGTCCAGATATTCACTCATACTACAAGGCAACTATACTAATGCATGCCATATCTACACAAGACGGTACCAATGGCCCCCCTTGGGTCGATATCGAATCGCATTGGTCTCTGCCAGAGGGAGTTCATCTCCTTCTCTGGTTACCCAAGACCTCTCGCCCCAAAATTACCGACCTACTGCCCTTAACTGAGGTAATGCTAAAAACTTGGGATTCCCACAAGCACTCCTTTCTCACCAGATTTCCGATCTCACTAGCCACACCGCTTAAAAGTCTTCAGCACCTGGTTCCAACCTTTAACAGCACGGGATGGGAGAGTCATGGTATCACACATCTGCACCAGTTGTGGACAGGAGATGTGATATCCTCATTGCCGCAGTTGTGCCAAAAATTTGACATACCCAAAGGGTTCTTTTTATCATACTTGCAAATTCAAGCAATCACACGCCACTTTCAACACGGAACTTTAGGGACAGACAACCAACACCACTGCATGTCACCTATTGGAAATTGGGTACGGGTCAAATACCCAAGCATGTTATGACTCCATGCTGAAATCTAACAAGACACCCTTACCGACTTACACATCTGCTTGGGAGAGGGAGCTCGGATACACTATTCCAAGGGACAAATGGCTTACGGCCTTAAGCGCACATAAATCCCTCACCCACTGCGTGTCACATATTGAATTCCTTAGAAAGATCCTAACGTGGTGGTACCTGGTTCCTTCGAAGCTAGCCAAAATATACCAAAACATAAAAGACACATGCTGGAGATGTGGGGAGGAAGGGGGCAACATGACACACATCTGGTGGAAATGCCCTGCCCTTCAACCCTACTGGGACATGGTGGCCACTCTGTTGACAGACGTGCTGAACAAACCAATACCTTGAACTATCGAGACCTATGTAATGCTCATGCTGCCCAAACATTTATCACCCGCTCAAAAAACCTTAGTCTTTCATATCTTAATCACAGCAAACCTGCTCATTGCTAGGAAATGGAAATCGTCCACAATACCCAGCAAGTTGGAAATCACCGCACTAGTCACAACCAATGGGCAAAACGAAAAAATGGCACACTCAAACTCGATGAGACCCCACAAAAAACTGGACGGGTGGGTCCAATGGGATAAGTGGTTATCCACGGAGTCATATAGCCTTCCCCTAACAGATCGACAACCAAGCAGCCTCTAAATGCACCCGCATAAAACTCTAGATACGGTCGCTACACTGCGGGTAACAATAGATAGGCAACCAGAGTTACGGTGCATATAACGCTCACAAACACAAGGCAACATAGTACCGATCAAGGGCAGACAAGACAAAGGGGTGGCCAAGGCCTCTATACACTACCTCGGCGTTGGTGCCCACCCTAAGCTCCTTTACCATGAATCAATTCACCGGGGAGAGGGGGGGAGGGGGAATAGCGGGACTAACTTGTTGAATAGTAAAGCTTGATAAGTTATATTACTCATCAACACGTGAAACTGTCAGATATATTAAGTTGTATTATTCATCAACATGCATGTGAACCTGTCAGATACACCATGCTGTAACCTCATCACATTGCACTAACTTGTAACCTATGTACTTTGTATACCTGTTTAATGTTTCCAGTCTTGTACACCATACTTTGGAAATACAATAAAAAGATATAAACATAAATAAATAAAAAAATCTTTTATCAGGCTAACATAATAGCACATGTTCATGGAACCCAATTACATTCTTCCTCTAAAGAGGTTTGGTTTAAAATTGAAACTGTAGCACTGGATGTTAAAGAGATCTCTGGCCTCATATGGAATATAAAAAGCCTGAAAAAATGATGGTGTCAATAGAAAAGAATAAAATTATGAATCATATTATCCCAGGGTGTTATAAGATTAAAAATAATCTAGGTATACAAGACTTTATGATCTATCCTTGAAAAGTTGGGTATTGAGTGGTATTAACAGTCTAGATCGATTATTATTCCAAGGTAAAATTTTACCCTTTGAATTATTGTCCCAAAGATTCAAACTTTCTACCTCGGAAATTTTTACATATCTTACAGTCAAATATTTTTTACAAAAATATTTGGTCCAAGTAAAAGATTCTAAGAGTAAGATTCTAAAGATATTATTCTCTAATGAAAACATCTAAAAGATACTACTTAAAGTGAAAAAATTAATCAGAACTATACATTTTATGGATACGTTTCCTCAAGTGACAAAATGGGAATAAGAGCTCAAGTGTGTGCTAGACCACCAGGAATGGTGTTATGCTTTTAACTCTACCCATAAACAGGTTCAATGCTTAAACGTAGTTGAAACACATTACTAAGGTTATAAACAAATGGTATCTATTTACCCATGTGTCTCGCTTCCTCAATTCCAATTCTCTCCTTGACCCTATTCAGTCAGGCTTCCGCCCTCTCCACTCTACTGAGACTGCTCTTATCAAAGTTACTAATGACCTAATCACAGCTAAATCCAAAGGTTACTACTCCATACTAATTCTCCTTGACCTCTCTGCTGCCTTTGACACCGTTGATCTCTTTGACGCTTGGCGATTAGTTAATCCAGCTATTAGCGATTTTACACACTGGTTGAGAGTTTATTATACATCCAGATATGGTCTGGGTTAATAACTTGATCAATAATTTGAAAAAAATCAATATAGTTGACAACACATGGTCTGACCATAGCATCATTCTCTTATAAAATAAGAGAATGATGCTATAAGAGATAAAAGACAGTTTTCCAATAAAGAAATAGCTCTACGTGGACACTGTTGATCATGCTCTCCTCCTTCAAAATCTTCAATCGCTTGGTCTCTGTGACTCTGTCCTCTCATGGTTTTCCTCTTATCTCTCCCAACGCTCATTCAGTGTCTCCTTTTCCAAGGATACCTCCTACCCTCGTCCTGTCTCTGTTGGAGTTCCCCAAGGCTCTGTCCTTGGTCCCCTTCTATTTTCTCTTTATACTGCCTCTTTTGGATTCCACTACCACCTGTATGCTGATTACACTCAGATATACCTCTCCTCCCCGGACCTCTCCCCTGTTTGCCTTTCTTCCATCTCTGACTGGATGTCCTCGTGCTTTCTGAAACTCAATGTCTCGAAAACTGAACTCCTTGTCTTTCCTCCTCCTAATACTGATCCTCCTCTCTTGCTCTCCATTCAAGTCAGTGATATCCACATAAGCCAAGCACGCTGACTTGGCGTCATACTTGACTCTGGCCTCACCTTTGAGCCTCACATCCAGTTTGTTGCCAAATCCTGTAGATACCAACTTAAAAACATAGCCCACATCCGCCCCTTTCTTACACAAGATGCTACCAAGGATTGTGTCCATGCCCTAGTAATTTCCCGCATGGATTACTGTAACCCTCTCCTGATTGGTCTCCTCAAAAGCCGTATTGCCCCGCTACAGTCTGTATGAATGCCGCCACCAGACTTATTCTCCTCTCTAGTACGTCCGCTCACACCTCACCCCTCTGCCAGTCCTTACATTGGCTCCCTGTATCCTATAGGAGTCAATTCAAAGTGCAAACCCATACATTTAAAGTACTGAACAATTCTAGCCCCTCTTATATCTCTTCCAAGATCCAAAGGTATGCCCCTCCTCGTTCCCTTCGCTCTGCCCGTGACCACCTCCTGACCGCTGCTCGCACCCGTACGGCCAACTCGCACTTGCAGAACTTTTCGCGGGTGGCTCCTTTCCTATGGAATAGCCTGCCTACCCCCATCAGACTCTCCCCTAGTCTTCAATCCTTTAAGAAGTGCCTTAAAACCCTTCTCTTTAAGAAAGCTTATGGCCTCCCAGAGTATCCTCTACCTTACATACCTGTCTCTTGCTCTCTCCTATAGGGCAGTGCTTTACTCTCTCCTCCAGATCTGCTTCACTCCCACCCTATTTGATTGATATTTCCTGTCCTTACGTGTCTTATACCCCACCTCCTATAGACTGTAAGCTCGTTTGAGCAGGGTCCTCTTCAATCTATCGTTCCTGTAAGTTTTTTTGTAATTGTAATATTTATAGTTATATCCCCCCTCTCATAATATTGTAAAGCACTACGGAAGTTGTTGGCGCTATATAAATGGCAATAATAATAATAATGTTTATTATCCATTGCTTTATTGCTTATAAAATTATAATAGCTTGTAATTGGAAACAAATGGGGGAAATAACTTGGGATGCAATTAAAGCACAATTAATCTTGCAGTTAATAATGGAAAGAGACCCAAGTATTCTTTTTTTAAATGCCCTAAAAAGATTTGACATTTGGCAATCGTGGCTTGCATTAATGTAATTTATAAACATGTTTCACCAAGCATCCAAGACCCACCTCCACCTCTTGACCCCGGGACGAAATTGTTTAAATGTTTAATGAATGTTTATCTGTTTATTTGTGCTTATATAAGGATAACTTGTTATAAGTAGCTGGTCAATATTTGTAATGTATGTTTGATGTTATTATTTAAAAGTTGCACTGCTGAAGGCAACAGAATATTGCATTAGGCTTGTCTGTAAAAGCAAAAAACTTAAGAAACCACTGTGGTACTCTGCAGATGTGTCCAAAATAGTAAAAAACAAAAGGTTAGCATTTAGTAATTATAAAAAAAAAACCAGAGTGAGGAAGACAGACAGATCTGTAAGATTAAGCAGAAAGAGGCTATGCAAGTTATAAGAGCCTCCAAAGCACACACAGAAGAGAAAATAGCACAGTCAGTAAAAAAGGAGTATAAAACATTTTTAGATACATAAATGAGAAAAGGAAAGTAAAACAAGGATTAGTTAGATTAAAAACAAAAGAAGGAATGTATGTAAAAGAGGATAAAGGTCTAGCTGATTGCCTCAATGGATATTTTTTTCCAGTATTTACAGATGAACATGAAGGAAAGGGGCCTCAGTTAGGAAAAAGGACAACTTAGTCATTTGTTACATGTGAGTTTACAGAGGAAGAGGTTCTATTTCAACTGTCAAAAGTAAAGACAAATAAATTGATGGGGCCTGATGCAATACACCCAAAGTTATTAAAAGAGCTTAGTGGTGTACTAGCAAAACCATAAACATATTTATTTAACCGGTCATTGTTAACAGGAGTAGTCCCAGAAGATTGGAAATTAGCAAATGTTATACCCATTCACAAGGTAGTAGGGAGAAGTCGGGCAACTATAGGCCAGTAAGCCTTACCTCAGTAGTTGGGAAAGTGATGGAAACCATGTTAAAGGATAGGATTGTTGAACATCTAAAATCACATGGATTTCAAGATCAGAGACAACATGGTTTTACTTCAGGGAGATCATGCCAAACTAATCAAATTGATTTTTTTGATTGGGTAACTAAAATAATAGATCAGGGTGGTGCAGTAGACATTGCTTACCTATATTTCAGTAAGGCTTTTGACACTGTTCCACATAGAAGGCTCATCAATAAACTGCAATCTTTAAGTTTGGATTCCAATATTGTTGAATGGATTAGGCAGTGGCTAAATGACAGGCAACAGAGGGTTGTAGTCAATGGAGTATATTCGAAGCAAGGTCTAGTTACTAGTGGGGTACCTCAGGGATCTGTACTTGGACCCATTCTCTTTAATATTTTTATTAGTGATGTTGCAGAAGGTTTTGATGGTAAGGTATGTCTTTTTGCTGATGATACTAAAATTTGCAACAGGGTTGATGTTCCAGGAGGGATAAGCCAAATGGAAAATTATTTTAAAAAATTAGAAAATTGGTCAGAGCTGTGGCAACTGACATTTAATGTGGATAAGTGCAAGATAATGCACCTTGGACGTAAAAACCCAAGGGCAAAGTATGGGATTTTTAATACCCTACTAACCTCAACATCTGAGGAAAGGGGTTTAGGAGTAATTATTTCAGATGACCTAAAGGTAGGAAGACAATGTAATAGAGCAACTGGAAATGCTCCCTGTATAGGGAGAGGT